AAATACTGGATTTTGCTTAGCTGTCTAATATTTTGCATAATAGCACAAATTCAGAATCATTTGCTCTGTAAACCCAAACTTGCACTTAATCATATTTCCAACGAGGATGAATGCAAATTAGTTCAGAAATATGTTTATTCCTTGCAAACGTATCAAACATGCTATGAGTATTGCCTTCAACACCAAAAGTAAAAAGGCATCAAAATTTATTTACCATTTAAATCGACTTTAGTAACTGCATCTGTATCTGCTTCTGCATCTGTAACTGCATCTGCATTTGTATCTGTATCTGTAACTGCATCTGTATCTGTATCTGTATCTGCATTTGTCTCTGCGACGATGTTTGCATATATGTTTGCATATATGTATATGTGTGTGCAGGGTAGTTATCGATAATGCCTTCATTTCATTCTGGTTGCCTAGTTTGTGCTTAAAGTTTTTATTACGTATTTCCCAGCAAGATGATTGCGGCTAGCCAATATTTACTTGGGTCATCAATTTGTTAGTAAGAGTGCACACTCATGTCACATATTATGAGTTCTGACTACAGCAACGTCATCATTATTTTGCCCATTGGGATTATTACGGTTGACTCCAAAATTGGAAGCACAAATGGTAAATGGCGAATGCCAAATGGCGAATGTTTTCCACTGTGAGTGTTTTTTTCATTCCCACACTGTGAGCATTACTATGTATATAACATAGTATACACAATGGTGTGGCGTCTGCGATAATGGCAAAATATTAATATTGTCATCCATTCTACCATTCTACCAGACTAACTGAATTATTCTGTAAAATTGCTTTTCTCCCACCGAAGAAAGCAAGATTTTTAAATAAATTCGAAAAAATATTAATTATTAATTTAAATGTGAAATTAATTGGCAACACAAATTATTCAGTTGAAGGATATACGGATGAGGCACTGTATTTTATTGAAATTTTTTAACGCATTCGAAAATGCAATTAATCATTTAAATAGCAATTTTTTATTTAAAAATAATCTTTCTGAAGTAGCAAAAAATAATGCTTTCTCATCCACATTTTGAATTTTAGCTTTACAATATCCGTAGTCAACTATACCTTCTTGACAACTCAATTATTGGCATTCATTTCAGTATCTGCATAAAGTATGATATATATTGAAGCAGTCTGGCAGAACAGTCATGCTTAACAATCACGAATTCTTCTAACTGAATTTATGGACTTATCAGGTTGGTTCCATTTCTCTTGAATGAAGAAATTGCGCCTTCAGAGAGCATGAATAACACTTACCTATAAATGGTATAGCCATTGGTTAAATCAGTCAAAAAAGATCTTTTAATAACTAATTCAAGAGCCTGTTAAAAGCCAGCCATAAAATTAAATAGCTCAGTATTCAGTAATCCTTATATTTGATACATGATTTATACTTTATACATTGGTATAACCAATTGTTAACTCAATTAATAAAGATGTTATACTGTCTTACATGAAAGTATCTCCAAAGCCCGCCGTTATTTTAAATAAAGAGGTTGTAAAGTATAGATATAATGTTATAGCCAATGGTTAAGTCAATCTTTAAAGGTATCCAAAAATTTAAATGAATCGATCTTCAGGTATGAAGTTGTATCTGTAATGAAGGATGAAAAAAAAATGGATCTGTTTCCGGCTGGGAATATACTCCCTCTTTGTATTGGTTTATATATAGCTTAAGCACAAATCAGTCAAAATTAATTTAGCGGTTTAGCCAACTCAGATTTTGTATGTTTTATGCTTGAGTGTAGAGATGTTATTACTTAATTATTTGAAAACTATTATTCTTTTTGATCATATTAAAGATAAACTCACACATTTGAGTACTGTAATTCTTAGGAACTGAAATTGAATAAAATACCACAGTTTATTATAATTACAATCTCCAACCATTATTGTATTTTATTTTATACAACAATACTGGGTACAATTTAATTATATCTCTCACAGAAACTAGTCTGTAATCATAAATATATAATGATAAAAATGAAGGTATTGAAATAAACCTGTACGACATAAACTATTTTTGGCAGATTATATACAATTATATACAAAACTATAATAATGAAACATTATAAAAATGATAACAAAGAAATTAATTGACTATGTAGTAACACATTTATTACGGAATTACTAACCGGTCACTATTAATTGTATTATCGCCTAACAAAGTTAAGAAGTCAATCCAAGTCAGACTGCAAATACTGTAGAGAAGAGAGTGAAACCGCATACCATGTGTTAGGGAAAGTGTTCAGCACTGATGCACAAGCGGAAGAAACACCAAGGAGGGTATTTCATGGAACATTGGGATTCAGGATCAAATTATGATGTTTGTTTACGGTATAAACTAAAACTGGATAATGAAGGATTCTGAGATTTTGGCATATACCGTTTTAAAGATGTTGTCCTTCACAAATTACATGGGCTTGTCAACAGTATTGTAATTTGTTGGTGAAACTGGACCCTAATTAAGTAATGTATCTTCAAAAACGTTCCAGAACTGTTAATAAATGAATATTTATTTAATAAAACTCAAAAACCTAATTGCGTTCAAATAACAAGATATAAAAATTTTTAATAAAAGTTAATTATTATTAATTTCATAGAAGTAGGAATCTCCGTTATATATAATAGTAATTGAAGCACTATTTTTTATAATTATATATGAGATACATTAAAAACTTAATATTTCTCATCAAATGTGATATGTTAAATTTATAATTCTTATCTTATTTTATTCACTTTTACTCATATAATGTAGAAAGTATTCTATTTATTTCATGAGTGTTAAACCTTTCAGGTTTTTTAATATAAGCTTGGATTTTAAATAGTTTACAGAACTACTATAAGATATGAAGTATAATTATTTCTTAGTTATTTCTTAGTTATTAGAATAAAAATTAACCTCAAAACATGTGAAAATGAAAAGGTTACAAACTTTTTTTTTGACATAGGGCACTAATACTAACTGACACTTAGCAGTTGGAAGTACTTATTTGATTTATTACTATTCTTGCGGTGATATTAAAATAGACGTGTGCGGGTTTACTGAGCTAGTGTTCAGTTCCCATTATAATGAAGTATAACATAATATAATATAATTTCTGTTAACTCAAGAGGATTTGTGCGTTATAGCCTTCTCAGTTCTTTGGTAATATCCAGGAGTTGAATAGCTTCTACACTGTTGTGATTAAATAGACGGTTTTCACGCCTAGCAGATACTTCTGGAATGGTTTCATTGACCCTTATAACCACAGTTGGCACTTGAAAATTTTTTTCTGTACCAAAATTGGTTTAAAAAGGTACCATTTCTGTAAAAAAAGGTCCAAAATTTTTTTGGACCTTTTTGTTTTTTCGTTTTGTGTTTTTCATAGTGTTATAAATGAACAAAATATAAAATAGTGCAAAGTTGTATTTATAAAAAAAAAATTAATTGGAAATATCCACAATAAAGTTGGGTCGTCAAAAATGTACCATTTTTTGAACATGAGTACCAAATGAAAAAAAAGTACCAATTTTGGTCCTAAAGTACCATAAGTTGCAACCGTGCTTATAACTCTCAAATCCTCATGTATTTCTTGGTTTGCTACATATCGATATACATTTGTAATAATCCGTAAATACATGTCTTAACTTCTCTGTATGATGTTTCGGTTCGATGGTTTCGTACAGCCCCTTATCTGTACTCCATATATCCATATCTTTTTCATTATTGATAGATAAATTAGCCTTTTACAATATAGTTTAAGTTGGTAATGATGTCCAATTTGCCAATACATTTCTCGATACTTGTATTCGATTTGGTCAGATTTCTGTTTAACATGATATTTTCAATTTAGTCTGTTATCAATGTGTAATCCAAGGTGTTGTGAATCTCCGGATGCCATTACTACAGTATCATTGGTGAACGTTCCTGAATATGTCATGAATATGTCTCGTGTTATAGATGTATCAACTGTGTAGAGGATATAAAGAATAGGTCCTAGTACACTCCCTTATGGAACTCCAACTCTGTTAATATAGATGATCGAATGATTTTCCTCATATGTCACCCTGAATGTTCTTTCTGTTAAGTATGACTCAGGCAACTGGTAGAAATTGTTCAGCAGCATATTAGTCATCTTATATACATATAAAGCCTTAGTACCATATACGGTGAAATGCTTGGGATATGTCTATGAACACTGAAGGACTGTATTATCTTCTTCCAATGCTTTTCAACTATTTTAGTTACTTAATGAACTTGATTAATAGTCGAGTGCTTATTTCTAAATCCAAACTGAAAGTAGGATTCAAAATGCTTTAGTTTAGAGTAGTTCAGAGTTTTCTCTAAGGAAACATTCATAGATTTGTTAACTAATGGAAAAAGTTTCATTTCATCATAAACGGTGGTACTGAAATTTTTAAGTCCAAGCGTATGGCCAAAATTTTTATGTCACATCTCCATTGCGAGACTTCTCTTTTCAGAAAAAAACAATATTTGGCTATATGTAATCGAGCATAACAAGTATTATACTGGTTCAATAAAACCCAATTTTTTTTTTGTTTGTACCATTACTGAAATCTAGTCCATTTAGAAAATTATAATGATCACTTTGAGCTGCGGTTAATATGGTTGAGGCATTGAATAAATTGAAAAAAAGAAGAAAATTGAGTTCTTGCCGATAAAGATCATGAATGACAAAATACCTCTTAGATATGGTTTTGACATTGCACTATCAGACTGCCAGGATGAACTGCATGAGCTAATTAAATGCAGCACTACATTATTGTAATGTTGAATGAAAGATTAATAGATTCAGCAGTAGAGAGGATCGAGTGGATCGAAAAGTCAGTTATTAAAAAAGATACTTTTTGACAGAAGAGCTTCGAATATTTTTTGCGCATAGAAATATACTCAAAGGTGAGATTTTTAACTGTTTTCCATTTCTTTATTTTAAATTATATATTATACAAAATTATATCATGTTTCTTACTTATCTTGATGATATTTGATTTTCTATAGAATTTTTTGTCAAATTATTACCACAAATAACAATGCTGTATTGGGTTGGATCTTGAACGTGTATCACAATCAAATACTTGCGAAAACTCCAGATTATTTGCTACCACCTGCATAACACGCTTGTAGGGTGTATCATGAGTGTCCTCATACTTGATGCGTTCTGATGGCAAGGCACAAAAAAACTGAGCAAATTTTATGAAAAATAGTTGCTTATTTGACAACTCGTGTTCCTGCCAGAACTTAGGCACAACTGGTCGGTGGAAATAAGTTTCATAAGCCAAACGAAACCCACTGAAATCAGCGATTTTTTCATTTATATTCGAAGTAGCTTCCAGCTGCAAACAATCCAGTGCTTGGACTAAATGTGATTTTTGCTGCAATGCCTCATATAGCTCCTCATTTACATTGCCCGTTGCATCGTATTGCAGTCCATTCAGATCAAATCCATGCATAATTTCATGTCCCAGTGTATTGCCCAGTTCAGCAAAGAGAAAAAGTTCATGAAAGTCAGAATGAAAAATCGGGTATTGTAAATAAGCGAATGGAATAAAAAGCAAGTTAATTCTAGAATGATAAGCGGCTGATGGATATTGCCACATGAAAAAGCTATGCTCTGCAGCCTTAGGGTGCAATCTCAGTAGCGAGTGCTCTTTACTGGCAGCAAACTGCAAAACATTTAAATTATTCCAATAAAAGTAATCCTTCTCTACTTGCAAATTGTTGTAATAATTTGAGTAAAATCCATCAGTGACATTTTGTGGCAAGTTTCCAATATTTAAATGCATTTGCTGTATTTTGTTTTTCACATACGTTGCCTCTGCAATACTGAATTGCATTTGGTGACCCTCCATGGCTCTTTGGAAACGCTGCTGAACGGCAGTAAAAATTTTATTAATAACTGCTGTATTTTTAGTACGCACATAACTAAATTGTTCTTTCTCATAGATGTAATCCAAAGCCAGGGACATATGCTCACGCATATTCTCTATGCAATGCTTAGGGGCAGTTGATTTGGGCAACTGCGCTTTCAAATACGACAGCAATTTTAAGAGTACATAGTAGGCCACAGTTTCTTTATTTGTCTTAGATAATAAGTCGCTAAGCTTGCGGAAATAAATCAAACTACGCACAATTAGTTTACTGTCAGCCACTAGCATGAATCCATCGGAAAACAACTCTTCAAAATATGATAGGAAATTTATTCCCGGCACACGTCTTTGTAATTCGGAGAGAGTAATTTCATATTCCACGTGGTCATCTTTTAAGCCATTTGCAATCGTTTTCAATTTTTGTTTAAACAATTTCACATTTTCGGCAGCAATGCGATTTTGTAAATGTGCAGACTTTATCAACTTCTCCAACTCCTCCGTTGCTACTTCAGTAAAATCAACATTCTCCGGCTTATCTAGGTATATAACGTATGTGGTGGCATTACTGTGTTTCAATTTCTCCCATATAAATACATCATTGAGGCCAAAGCCTCTTAACTTTCCTAGAGTTCTCAATGTATGCCAATTATCTGCTTGCCAGGTGGTATGCTGAACGCCTAGTTGCTGCCAATCAGGCCAGTCTGTACTTCCAAACGGTTTAATAATTTCTAAATATGTGTAGACATTTAGTATTTGCTCCTCTCTACAGGATTGATAATAGTCACTTACTTTCTTATACACTTCATTGTGTTCCTTTTTGCCAGCATTTATGCGCTCCTCCAAAATGTTTGCCATTTGCATACTTAGGGTATACTTGAGGCTACCGATAGTGTCAACATATTTTTCCGCGTCCGCGTTAACTAATGGCCAATTTCCGCATGCATATTGATAAAAATCTGTACAAGGATTTGCATTAAAGTCCATATAGCTCTTCATGGTTTCCAATAATCTTGTGTTGATGTGTCTAATGTCTGCATTTTGTGGAATTGCAGTTGCTTTCAATAAAAAAGCATTATTAAGCAGCAACAAACAAAATATTATATTTATGATATTTTGACGATACAGCCACATTTCATTTAAACTTTCTTTATATATATTTTTTATTTTTTAAATTAATTTAAATGCCTCAACTCAAGCTGCCTCAATTCAAGTACTATTGCACATATTGTATTTTATGCTACAAATCGAAACAAATGTTTTGTTTATATTATATATTCAAATAAAATTTCGGGTCTTATCAATCTTCTTAAGAAAATATGCAGCATAAGCAGAGACAGGGGTGGCGGATTTTTATGATGAAAGGCCGTTCTCGAAATTAATGTTAATTACCTAGTGTTTACACTAAGTCGACTTTAGTGAGATTTTTAAGTTCGAATGAAAATATGTAATATTTTCGAATTTCGAATATGTGTGTGATAAAGTACATAAAAATATTTACCAAACTCTAGCCTGTGTAAATACTGGGTAATTCACATTTGGTTACCACTTTATCTAGTGGCAACCTTTTCAACCAATGCTGGATGTTTCAGTAAATACAGGTACCCTTCTTCAATATGGTTTCCTACAAAGCATTCTCTAATTTGCGGAATGCTCTTTTATGGCACCTTACGATTACGTATTAATGAAAAAATGAAAATTCCAGAAAAGCCAAAATATTCTTTATGTAAGAACCATATTCTTAGCTGTGAGGGCCGCAGTCGTTTTGAAAAAGAACTATCAATTACTTTAAATTTATTTATTTGGTGTAACATAAAAATAAAATAATGTAATTTTACCAAAGTAAACCTAGAAAATTTGTGTAATTGTGATAGATTCGGAACATGCCGCGGGCTGCACAAACATTAGTCGCAGGCAGTATGTCACCCGTGGGCTGTGCTTTGGACAGTCCTGTTTAGTAGTATGTGTCGTTAAAAATTTAAATCATTGGTAACTCAAAAAACTACCCGAATATAATTTTTAAGCTTTACACAAAAAATGAATAACGATTTCATTTGGATTGTCAGGATTTTTTTGACGTATTAAAACAAACATCGTAGACCCCACAAAGTATATATATTCTTGATCAGCTCAACGAATTAAGTTTCTTCCGATGCTGGTTAAATAACAGCACTATTTCTAGTTGCACTATTTCAACAAACGACAACTAAAATATATTCTATGTGTTTTACTAGTTCAAAACGAATAGATTTTACTGTGTCTTGTAGGCTGAAGGGATGATATTTCAAAATGAATAGATTTTACTATGTCTTGTAGGCTGGAAGGATCATATATTTATTTATATATATTTTTCTTTTAAAATGCTGCTGATTGGAACTTCACGTTCAATGGAGAATGCCATATATTGCGCAAAAAAATTTTTTTTTTGTGATGTTTTTTCTGTAGACTTTTTTCTACCATAGTGCTGTGAAAAGGCGAAAAAAGTTTGTCTCTCACAACTAATACATGAAAATATATAATTGCTATATAGCTATTTTTCAAAATAATTAACAACATCCATCAGGATATCTTGTTAATGAACATTTAAGCGTACCTGAGTGAGATTTATATTCTCGTCTAGAAATGTTAAGACAATCTACATAATACATAATTCAAGTACATAAGATACTTAAACGAGGGCTGCCTTTCAAGTCTTGTGCCTAACAATGAAAACACAGTGACTAATCAGTGAAAATGGATTTATTGTTTTATTCTCCAAGATGATCAAAACATTTTTGGGTTCGATTCAACCTATTTTCGAAACAGCTTTGTTTCTCTGCATTCTAAACAGACTATAAAATTTAAAAGCGGATCATAGCAATAGATTATAATACATGCAGAATAAAAGAAATGATTGCCCACTCCTGAAACATATAAGCTTATTTGCGTTACAAAAGCGTACAACCCAATATGTATTTTGATAACAAAAATGTGATAAGCTTAAATAGAAAACAAATCCAGCAGTTCAAGATGTTAATGAACTTGTGAAATAATTTTATTTTTTAGAATGTGTTTCTAAAATTCTATGACAAATAATGTCACTAAACATAAAAGAAACCAATTTAAAAATGAAGACAAACCATAATAGAACTAAGACACAAACTTCTTTAAAACGTTTCTTGTTTTTTGTTCACATGCACTTTCAATTTTTTTTTAAGTAAAAGTCGGTGAATCCACTTCTTCTTTAGACCACGGATACCCATAATCGAACTTGAGACCATAGGATTAAAATTCATAAACGTGTTTGTGAAGAGTGCTTAGTCCCTTCCACAGAGTAAACATAAAAATTTGTGAATTTTAGAATGAATTGGTTTAACATTCCGTTGGGTTTGGCGCCATCCGAACCGTGACGTGATTGCGAACCCTTCCACAAAGCGAGAGATAGTCAAAGCGTTAAAGAGCGACTTATAGTCGTCTAGTTTTAGTCACTATTATAGAATTGGTAGGAGCTATTAAAAGAGATGAAGAAAGCAATCTGTTTCCTAATGATGATGAAAATACGCCAAATGAAATATTCGACAAGAAAGATGCCAATGAGGAAGCACCTGAAATAGAACAACAAAGTGCTGAAGGTAATTCTTTTTAGCAAATATAGCACATTGTGGTATTAAAATTAGTGAAATGCTGGTGTTTCTAACAATAACGTGCATAAATAATATATTCAGTGCAACCATGTCTTCGAAATCAATTCAAAAAGAAAACTCAATTTATTCGATTTGATATTGCACAAACACGTCTCTTTCATATGCATAGTGATAAAACAGGTTAAATTATATACAGATGAAGTAAATGAAAGCGAAAATATTATGACACAACTTACAAAAATATATACTAATAGAGGCCGTACCAAAAACATAGATATATAAAGGCATGGGTTTTGCCTATTTTGAAATGAGAAAGCACCGACAGTAGCGCAACCACAGTTGTTGTTAGTGTAAATGCTATTAGTGCGATTAGTAGTGAAGACAGTGGTATCCCCTTATAGTAAGTTGTAGTATTTATTCCTACATTGTTTAATAATTATGTTACTTAAATCATATAAAAAAAATTTACAAACTAAATTTAATTTAATTATATAAATTAGAATTATCAACTTAACGAATTAAATTATATTAAATATAATTATTACTATAACTTAATTTAATTTAATTAAATAAAATAGAATAATTAACTTAATTTAATACATAACAATTATAGTTCAACAAAACCTTCGATCAATATTGCCACATAAATGGGATTAGGAATATCATAATAAAGTTATTAAAAATTAAAATTATTTATTAATTTTATTCAAATTACTGAAAGTATTAATAAATATAATTAGGCTAATATTTTACACAAAAATTCAAATTTATACAATTTTTTTAATTAATTGTCAAAATTTACATTATCTTGACAATTTTTAAGTAGACACTTTGAGTTCTAGTATAATAGCATTTCATGGTGGCACCCGTAAAACGGCTCCTTAGACCAATTTTTGTTTTAAACTTATTTTTCATTTTTATTATTTGTCATGATCTTTTTAATACCATTGTCATGATATTACAATTTGAAAAAAGAAATCAAAAATTAATTATATATATATATATATATAATATATATAGTTTTATATATATATATGTATATATATGTATATATATGTATATATATGTAATATATATATATAAATATACATATATATATATAATATATAATATATATAGTTTTGAAGTAAGAAATGAATCCAACTTAATTGTGAAAAAGATGAGGAAAAAGTCCTCAATTCAGTTTTGTTCCAGTATCTCTGAAAAACGTAGACTTTCTCACTTTCCAAAGGAAACTGCTACTAGCGATACTTACCAGAAAGCTTGCAAGCTGCAGGATTATTATTGTAATTACTACTGATCATTCTGTTGGTGAGGTGTCTGCCCATATTCTCTATTTGTATAATAACGCTTACATTATTATGTATATTAGTTTTATAAAATTATTCAACAAATGGAAAAGAAAATAATTTAAATAAGCAATTGTCTTTGTGTACATATTTTGCTGTTCATTGTTTAGTAGCAGTCATACTTTTTTGGTGGATATTAAAAATAATAATATTATTTCACCAAAGACAAAGGAAAAAGAAATTTGTTAAGTTATTGGCGATAAGTACAGTTGCATTTATTTATTTACATATAGATTTATGTACATTTATGCATCTGTGGCTTTTGTTATCAGACCACTCAACAGTTATATAAGCATCATAATCAACACGGATATCATCTTCATCATCATTCCCATAACTATAATCATTATTGTCATAGCCATCATCAATCTTCCACACAAGTAAGTTCCCTGAATAATAATTCATGTACTCGATGTGACGAATTTTTTACTGAGTTGCTTTTTGATTTTGTAATGCTTTCTGCCATGCACTGCTTGCTGGTCCATATCAAACTCATATTTATATTCGAATATATATGTATATACATTGTCTATGCACATTTTACATATATACCATATATATTTTACATATACATGTATATATATATATATAGCATATAGAGTGTTATCAAAGTAAAGCATATGTCTGCAATGATTTGCATAACTTACCAATATCATATTTTCCATACTTTTCGTACTGAAGGTAACAGCAGCGGCAGCTGTGCACTTTTGGCAACAAATTCATAACATTTTTTACTTTAATAATAAAAATATGCAAACTAAAATTGTAAAACCTGGAAGTTCACACATCGTACAAGGATTTTGCAAAATTGGATTCTATAGTAGGCGGCCGCTTGGGACTTGTTAACCTTCTTCATTACCACTTGCCGTCATTACCGTCTCGTTATTGTTATTTGGGGCGCTCGGATGAGCTATGTGGTCGTTGGTGAGTTCCTTGCGAAACTCACTGCACACTAGTGACTCACTACCTTATCTTGCCATGTGAATAAAGTTCAGTTTTTCTCTGCAGCTTCCTGACTATTTATGCATGCTTTTTGTCGTAAGGAGTATGTGTTTAAGTTATTCTTTTCATTTGTATCTGCAAAAGTGCATGCGTATCTGAAAGTTATGCATAAATTTTGTACACAAAGTTTTTAACTTTACATTTTGTAATTATTTTTGGA